CGGCCTCGGCTCTGATGACGACACTGACCGGTCAGCCCTGACAGCAGACTTCTCACCCCGCCCCCCCCCCCCCCCCCCCCCCCCCTGTAGCCGTCCTGTGTCGGACCCGTATCTGCCCTGGCAGCTCCCCCCCCCCCCCTCCCCTGTTGGCCGTCCGACGCCTGATCTTGTCGGCCCCAACAGCTCTTCTGTGCCTGACCGTGTCCGCCCCAACACCTCTCCTGTGCCCGCCCCGTGCCCGCCCGAACAGCTCCTTTGCCTGACCCGTGTCTGCCCTGACAGCCCCTCGTGTGGCCGTCCGGCGCCTGACCCGTGTCCGCCCCCGCAGCTCGGCGCCTCAACATCCGGCAGTGCTCCGGGAGTACACGGGCGAGCGTGGTGGTGGACTCGGACTCGGACTCGGACTCGGATGATGAGATGGAGGCGGACGCTGCCGCGGCGGCGGCGCTGGCCGAGTTTCAGGACGGCGTTTCATCACCGGGCTTCAAGCACTGACGCCGGCCGTGCGGGGGTCGTGCCGCGCGCGAGCTCTGCGCCACGTCAGCGGCCGCCCGCTGGGGCGCGCTGCAGTGTCGGGCGGGGGATGCCGGAACTGGCCGTCTCGAGCCGGCTCTCTTGGTGCGGTGTGACGGTGTGGAGGCGGTGTGCGTGTATACCTCGCGGTGGCGTCAGTTGATAGAGTTTGAAGTGTGAGATATTTCGGAGACGGCTGGGGGGGGGGAGGGGGGGGGGGCGGCGACGGGTGTGTAGTAACTTTGTGAAAGTGACTTCTCAGGAGTCTTCGGTGGATTCTAGCAGGTATGACCTTGGTGTATAACGTCCACAGTGCGATGACCCAGTAAAGTCACGAGTCTTCCTTTCCTCGTGTCGCTCAATGTTGAACAATATCTAAACATTTCATGTTGGTGTATGTTGCATGCAGCGCACAGTGGCCATTTCCGTCTTTGGGTCAAGCGGGATGTGTAAAACATGCTGAAGCAGGTGATAGGAAGCCCTTTCTTGTAGAAGTGTTCGCCTGTGCAAGCTTGCTGTTTGGAACATTGCAACCCAGAAATGCAACTGTGATATCGTTCCATCTCTATGTTCATGCTCATTTTATTCGCGAATCACTCCAACATATGCTTTATTGTTTGATTTGGTACAATTTCGACAGGATGAGTGCAATATTAAAACGTGACAACAACGCGACGACATTCGAACATTATCAAGCATTCCGCCATTCACACATCTACGTCAACAACAAAGTAGTGGATCAAAATATAAATCGCCGATAACAGCCATACAACGGCAAACAAGCAATGATAACGCCACGGGACCGTCTAAATCCTCTCGCCTGGTGCGAGCTCCCTGCGGGTGCGAGAGGTGGCGGTGGTCGGCGGCAGGCGGCTCCAGGGCGAGGCCGCGCGTTACGAAAAGCCCAGCTTGCCACCGACAGATGAAGAGCTGGCAGATCAAGGACTGCTGCAGCCCGGTTGGCATGCTGGCACGCAGCGGTACGTAGAGTGAACAGGGACTGGATCGCCACCAGAGCCCGCCCAGTGAGCACGAAGGATCATTAAGGGCCCTGAATACATCGGGGCCGTCACGGAGGGTGACAAGGTCACTAACGCTGCGCCAGCCTGGCGCTTGAACAGTTTACACCATTGGGTCTCGCCGAAGGGCATCGGTGACGATTCCGGTCCCAAAGCCCTTCGCCTATTGCACTCTGTTCAGGTGACACGCTGCAGGCCCATTCTAGACCGAGAGGCAGTACGAAAGGCGAGGGAAACACGGGACTGAATGAAAAGCTAACTAGCCTGTAGCGTAAGGCGATGACGAATTTGTGCAGGCAGAAAAGGATGGAGTTGCCTTTTTGACAACACAGGATATGCGCAGTCTCTAGGAAAAGATCCTCTAAAAGTAACCTTCACAGACGGTGAAGAGTTAATTTGTCCCGCGATGTCAAGGTGAGAAGATACGTTTTGCGGGGATTGGGGGTGCTAAGAGTCATATGAAGCATGATTGAATCTCTTGGGTGATTTCCTTCCGTTGGGATTCCAAAATGGATAGCTGGTCTGGATGAGCGGAATCTAGCAGTAGGGTGATGTCGGTGTGAGACAATAGACGTTCGTTAAGGGAGGTAAGAGCGCGTTCTTGGGGATGCAGGGGAAGATATGACCGACTAAGCATCACTGGGGAACGCTGTGAATCAGCGACAGAGAGAGACGACCGCCTCTCACCACCTGCCGCCGACCAGCAAGGAGCCCTCAAACCACTTAGGATGTATTCCGTACCGATACCACCACAGCCTTGTCAGAGAGGGGCAACGGTAGCCCAACGTCGATCCGGCGTAGCGCCCCACGCAACAGTGTGGACCCACGGTGTCGATCAAGGCGGTCTTTGTTGAGTGACAAGGTCTTTCCGTGCTGTGGTGGACTTAAAGATCTTGGGAAACGAGGCGGAACGACAGCTGCCCTTTTCATTATCTTTTGGACAGTACAGGCAAAATTGGCATAGGTCTGAAATCACCGACGATGTCACGAGGGCTAGATTTGTGAATAGGGATGACGGAGGCAAACTTCCAAGAATCTGGGGGAGAGGATGTGACGGACGGTTGTTCATGAGATGAAGCAATGTTCCAGGACAGGGAAACATTTACGTAAGACATGCACTGGAATACCATCAAATCTCACCACTCCGGATGACAGTTCGTTCATAGCTTTCGATAGTTCGGACAAAGTTGGGGGACACTATCTAAGGTCTGGCAGCCGTCACACGCGGTGGCCTGGGTAGAAGAGGAGAACCGCCAAGATTGCCAACTCGCCAGCGATGCGTGAGCCGACGGAAGCGAGGAGCCGGTCCAAGTCGTCGGCATTTTCTATGCGTAGGTCCTCAGTGGCACCCATACCGCCCTTCGCTGACTGGAAAGCGAAGTTCTTAATGCCTCGCCAGAAACCATCACGATCGGTGAGTATGACAAGGAGCGACGCCTCGACCTCGCGAACAGCCTTTCATACTGTTCCGTAGGGTCGGTGAGGCTGATAAGTTTTTTCGATTCGAGATTCGTGCCATGCTTGGCACACGTTATCTAGCTGCCACATTAGGCGTCGAAAGTCCGGGCTGCTCCCGCGCCATGGACAGTGGCAACGACGACAATGAAATGCGGTTTAAGGGGGGGGGGGGGGCAATGCTCGTCCCCCCACTCCACCAACACCATATAAACTCGGTCACTTTCTGCTCCACTTCGTCATTTTTTTTCTGCAGGCGTCTTAAAGTCCGCCTGCAGAAAATGTCGAGGCAGAACGCATCCCAGTCTACCTTGCCGCATGGAATGCATGGTAACAGGCACTGGACGACAGCGGGTGCGACTGAATGCCGCTGACCACTCCCAATGATACTCCCACCGGCTCCTAAAATGATTGACTCATTTTGATGGCTGTATCCACTAGCTGCCTGTCTGTTGATTTCAGCCGGGTATCTTGGTTTGAAATTGTAAGTTTGGTCGTTTCTACTCAAGTGCATTTTTGCCCAGGTTTTGTCCTACTCACTGTAATCTGTTTGTATGCACCTACGATCAATTACGTCATCACCATACCGGCATCAATGGCTCAAAGCTGTTATCTTACATTTCCGGTGGATATTACCTCTTGACCACTTTGACAGAAGTCTCGTGATGCGGTTTTACGTGGAGTCGCAGGAGAACCCCCCACAGCCTGCAAACATCACGAATCCTAATTTAATAGGCCGAGAAAGGCTGCCGCAGGAGTGACATTCTTGGCGCATAATAACAGACAAGGCGGGACCAAGGCTATCTAACGGGCGGGACTGCTGGCGATGTACTTGGGTTAGTGGCACGTGTAATTTGATTGCATATTAAAGCTAAGTGCATCCAGCTAATATGACTTGGTAATAATTGAGAAAACGTCACTCACTCACAATGTTATAGAAATGCCTATGGAGATATCTCAGTTGTGGCACATGACTCACGCATTGAGATAGAAATGTGGGAGGGGCTCTGTGTGAGCTGTGAATCAGACTGCATGAAATAATTTTGCGGATCATGTCCAGCATAGCAGCGGCAGCATCCAGGAGCAGCATCGCAAAAATTGTTGTATTTATGCTGTAAATCAAGGCACCTTGTCTCAAGGTTTGGTGCACAGTTTTCCTTTAATTTCAGTGTGCAGGGAGCCAAGGTTTCCTGGAATTATGTTTTGCAGGCATAGTTTCAGGCAACTGTGCTTTGCAAGCATTTGGAATCCCATGACATCTTGAAGGTGTGATAAAATGTGGGCTGGTAGGGTTTGGTGCACACTAGCGGGTGGTTTACAGATCAATGTCATAGATTTGTGATGCTGTGGATGTGATTTTTTTGCAGACCAGGCTGTGGGCTGTTGCTGTGACAAAGTATGTTATGTATATATATATATATATATATATATATATATATATATATATATACATATGTCAAACACTGTGAAGCAATGAAGGTGATCAGAATTAATAGCACATCAAACCTACTGCATAACACAAAACACTTCACATGTGGAAACATATGGTCACATAGATCAACAAACATGCCTGAAACTGTCATGTCTGAAAACATTGGGTACATACCATATATGTATATATATATATATATATATTATATATATATATATATATATATATATATATATATATATATGTTGCTGTGACAAAGTATGTTATGTATATATATATATATATATATATATATATATATATATATACATATGTCAAACACTGTGAAGCAATATATATATATATATATATATATATATATATATATACATATATGGTATGTACCCAATGTTTTCAGACATGACAGTTTCAGGCATGTTGTTGATCTATGTGACCATATTGTTTCCACATGTGAAGTGTTTTGTGTTATGCAGTAGGTTTGATGTGCTATTAATTCTGATCACCTTCATTGCTTCACAGTGTTTGACAATGCTTCACATAACTGCTGGTCTGTGGATCTTGCCAGGTGGACTTCTGCTTCCAGTTCATTTGTTGTGAACACCCAAGCATGGCACAGCCCATGGATGACATGAAGTGAGTACCTTAGTAGCTAATAGCTGTAGATATGCATGCATAAAGGTTTACAGTTTGAGGAGATTTAGGAGCTGCATGGGAACATCAGTTTGATTGGTGTGGCAGTGTTTGCTCTCAGTGGTGAGCTGCTCATGGCACTCTGCCACCACCAGGTTCCAGCACTACCTATCAGGAGGCTGGACAGTTGCTTGGACCTGACAATCGAGCAGCAATCAGCACTGTTTTTAGGTCACTGCCTCTTGCTTTGTGTTGTGTTGTTATTTCTAAATTATTTGCATTGAGTGGTGTTACTTTCTGGTGTAAATTACTGTAACTTACTATCTATGTAAATTACTTTCTGTTTAATTCCACTTGATTTAATGAACTGCTATTTGGTTGTGGATGCTCACTATTGTCATTAGCCTCTGTCAAGCAGTTATACTCAATTTGAGAATAAGGTATTGAACTTGCTCCAGTTTGTGCCTTTCTCTTTCCTGTCAGTGGAGTGCTGAGGCTGTGCTACAGTGGACAAGCATTCGTACCTACCTACCTAACCTACCTAACCTAACATACCTAACCCTGCTGCTAGTAAGTATAATATCATGGCTGATGGCAGAAATTTGCATCAGTTAAAGGTAGAATGTGTTGGCTGTAATGAACTCTGTGTGTGATCATTTCACAACTGTACCATTTGGGAGACTAAGCTGATAGACATGGCATGATTGACATCCTCCCCGTGTCTGCAGCTTAAAAGGCAACCGCATTAGAGTTTCTGGCATAGCTTTAAAGTGTTACTGAGAGAAATGCTGTTACCTGACAGGTGACCAATTAAGCACATTCTGGGAGGCTTATATGATCTATAATAGTCAGGTCAGTGGGTTCTGTCATAATCAGCAAAGGCCAAAGATCTCTCTGTCTGTATATGCAGTAATTGGAAATTTTCTTTCTTGTTCTGGGTTGCTTTGGTGGAGAAGATATACTGGTTTTACTTTGCCAGTCATTGTCACTCACTATGTAAGGTCAATCCAGATCACCTCAGAGGTCATGTAAGGTTATCTTATAAGCATTGCATCATAGTTATTTGTAATTTGTGTATGTTAAGCCTCACTAAGCCCTAACTAAAACATCTCCTGGCAAATGTCCTCTGTTTATCACATGAATTGGGAAAGCCAGAAGCACATATGATGAAGTGACCTGGTGATCTAGCATGGTGTGACTTGACCCTTGATCTTGCAATTTTACTATATGATTGTCATATCAAGATCTTGATATTAGTCAGGCAGTTGAAACTGGCTTAGGGATGCAGGTAATTCCCATCTATCTATATGTCATGCACATGTTCATGTTTTGATAGGGTATCAGGATGGCAGGGCTGCATGTGTTGTTTGGTTCTTAGTTGGAAATGATATGAGCTTCATACTTTCCAGGATGGCAGGATGACATGCTGCATATATTGTTTGGTTCTTGGCTGGAAGTACTGCATGCTTCATACTGTCCTGGGTTTTGGCTAGAAGTAATTCAAGCTTCATACTTTTCAGGATCCATGTGGTCACATACAATGTGGCAACACTCTTTCCAAACATGAGGACCAACCTCACTGGACTTCTTGGTCTGGAGGACAACACAAAGCAGGCATCCCATCCAGACATCTATGTTGTTGGGTAAGTGCACCAGTACAGCTTTGCTGTTCCTCAGGTCATGACAGTGAAGCCACTAGTGCATTTATGTGTTGATGAAAAAATGATTTGCTGCTTTGAATATGATCAAAAGCTTAATAAGGTGGCTCATTCTGCTGGCGCTGTTTTGCAGATGTCAAGAAGTGAAGTCACAGCCACAGAACTACGTGTATGACACACTTTTTGACGATCCATGGTCGACGCTGTTCAAGTAAGTCCCCCAAATTTGTTTGTCACATGCTGTACTTTGTTGTACAATGGGAGCACACAGCATATCCATCTCCCTGTAAGATGCCTCGTGTGGTGCGGCACGAGCGAAGCGATGACAGAGGTTACAGCTGTCAGCTGTGTAGATCACACCAAACACCAAGCTAAGGAAGCCAGCCAACGTCGGCCACCGACACTGGCAGATGCCGTCACCCCGTCGAAATCCTGCCTCGTGAGAACTACGATGGCGTGTTTTCCAGACGTGTAATTGGATACGAGATATTTTGTAGGTCCAAGTTGATTAGGGAACATAACTGTCAGCTAACCATATCGCTTTAAACCCGTCCACAGTTTGGCCGCGGACTTCGCTTGCAGATTTCCACAGCAGCTATCAGCTGTTACAGCCAATGGGTACCACATTCAAGCCGCAGCTCCGCAAAACGCTGGCAAAAGAGTTCAACGGTATTACCTCTTGGCCGCAACAGCTGAAGTGTACAGAACCGCAGCAGATTCTGGAGTCGTCAGGTGTTGCAGACTAGAGAGGCAGTACTTTTGAGGTCTTAAGTCCACACCACCGGACCGCAGAATCTGCTCACTTAGTTCTAACAACAGGTTACATTCCTCCTCCAACACTCCATCAACCATAGGCAACTAGTCCAGCATGTCTGGCCGGTCGCTCCTGGTAATTAGGTTACACTGTTTTTCTTACACGAGCTCAGGTCGAAAGGTGGGCACCTTGACAGTGTCTTCTATTCCGAGCTGGCGCGGCAAGTGCAGTTGGAAACTGGAGCTGGCACGAATGTAATGGACGTGCTGGCCGACCACCGCCTGAGCCTGGCGCGCTGGACCGGTCCCTGGTCTGGGCCTGGAACCGGTGGCCGCGCCGCCCGCCTGCCCGCCCGCCGTCTGACCGGCCGGTGTCGGCCGCTGGCAGGCTGACGCTGGCGCCGCGGGGCTACGTCAAGCTGCGCACCATCCGGCTGCAGGGTATCGTGCTGTCCGTGTACGTGCTGCGCCGGCACGTGGTGCACGTGAGGGAGGTCGAGGACAAGTACGTCCGGCTCGGATTCGGCGGGATGTGGGTGAGTCCTGTCGTCGTCTAGCGGGGATGGTGGCTGCGAAGGCAGGTAGGCTTGCTCGATAGGCAGGTTACTTTACTTTTGCTGGAGCTCGAGGACTGTGAGCTTACATGGACCTGGCGGAGGATGTCGAAGCAATTCACGTTCATTCTGTAGGTCTCCGATGTAGCTCAATTAAGCGGTGCCAGGTGGGACTGAGAGTGTGGTGTTTGGGTCCGGACAGCAAGCGGCAGCCAGCGGCAGACTGCGCGCCGTCGCCGGTGTCACGGCGCCGCCTGGTGCCGTGTGCGTGCTGCCCTGATGGCCGTACGCGCGCGGCCGGCAGGGCAACAAGGGCGCGGTGGCGCTGCGCCTCTCGCTGAACGGCGTCAGCCTGTGCCTGGTCAACTGTCACCTGGCGGCGCACGACCACCTGCTGGCCGAGCGCATCCAGAACTACACCGACATCCTCAGCCAGGCCAACTTCCAGCACCCGGCCACGCCCAAGCTGCTGTACCACGAGTGAGCCCGCCCGCTGCCCGGCCAGCCGGCGGGGCCGGGGACGGGACGGCGTCGGCCGGCCGGTGGTTCGCTGTTAGGTACTCCGATTTTGCGGCTGGTGCGAACCCGGTGGTTTTTGGTGTGATGGGTAGGACAAGAACAACATCGTGCTTTGCGAAAAGTAGCTTTCTTGAACTCTTGATCAGCTAGGATGCTGTTTGTCTCGAACCCCTGCAGTGTGGGCGCAGACGTTGCCTGCTTGGTGAAACACGCGCAGTGTACGCAGAGTGTATGGTCGTTTAAGCACGCTGCAGAGCCGTCGCACAAGTCCGCACAATACACGCAGCGAAAGTCCAGTCACGCAGCACGCAGAGGAAACCGTCTACAAGGCGGCTTCTTCCAATGCGTGCACATGGACACGAATCCTTTTGACTTCAGTCCTATGCTGTATCCATCCTATGCCGCCCAATCCTTTCCTATCACGCATGCATATGACGGCCGTCACTGCTGGAGGTGATGATGCGCCATGTCGGGCCCAGGTGCAGCCTCCGCCCAGACAATTTTCCCTGTGACGCCGTGCTGCGGGCCTCTGCTCGCACTGCGCCCGGTCAGGCCAGAGGCCTGTTCTCACATGTCCCATCGTGCGACGGCCGACAGCTACCTCATCTGGCTGGGCGACATGAACTTCCGACTGTCGAGCGGCGAGGGCGGCGCGCCCGACGACGAGGCGGCGCGCCGGCTGGCCGATGAGCACCAGCTGACACCGCTGCTCGAGCTGGATCAGCTGCGCTGGGCGCGCCGCACCTGGCAACGCCTTCTCAGAGCTGAGCGAGCCCACGCTCACCTTCAAGCCCACCTACAAGCTGGTGCCGGGCCGGCGCGGCCTGTACGCCACCAGGTGAGCGGCAGTCGCGGCGCGGGGCGCTCTGGCCGCGGCAGGCGGCTGAGACTGCAGCCTGGCCCTGACTCCCTCCGGCGGCAGCCGCGGTCTTCCTGGCACGCTTGCAATGCTGGGCAGTGCTGGACGAGAGGAAAGTCGTGTGCTTGTGTCGTCAGACTCACTGGGTGTTCGGTAAAAAGCGTGGGCTGTGGTGTAACATGGCTGCGGTGTGGTGTTTGTTCGGGCTTGCTTGTTCTTGTCTGCCGATTGTCTCGATGGTGGCCGAGTCCGGCCGCTGTTGCGCGCTCTGCTGTTTACTCTGGCTGCTGTGGTGCGACTGGCGCTCTGTCGTCTGATGATTGACCGAGACCGGCGCTGTTGCGCGCTCTGCCGGTTGCTCTGGCTGCTGTGGTGCGGCTGGCGCTCTGTCGTCTGATACGTGACGCCGCCCATCGGCCACAGCCGCCGGCCGGCCTGGACCGACCGCATCCTGTACAAGGTCAACGCGGACGTGTACGAGGAGACACGCCTGACGATGGAGCCACTCAGCTACCAGAGCCACCCCGAGTACACGGTGTCCGACCACCAGCCGGTCTCCGCCGAGTTCCGCGTCAAGGTGAGCTGACGGTGCCGCGGAAGGTCTCTGGCGGGCTGATCATCGGTGAGCTGACGTAGTGGCACAGTGTCCGACCAAGCCCGTCTCTGTCCAGATGAGATAACCATAGCGCACAGTGTCCGATAGTTGATCTGTCCGTGCCGAGTTGAACATCGAAGTGAGCTGACGGAAGCACACAGCGTCTGGCCAGCCACCTGTCTCCACCCATGTAATTATCGGTTTGGGTATATTGGAGTTGACAATGCCTTAGCCCCGTGGTCGGCGCCTGTGGGGCCCGGGCCGGTGATGCGCCCTTCAGGATCACTCCTGTAGCAGCAGTGTGTGTGCGGTGCTGCAGGTGTTCTCTGGCCGGCCGCTGCCTTGCGTGGAGTTCCTGCCCATCTCTATGTGGCTGGTGGGCTCCGACTGCGTGGCCAAGTACCGGTGCGACCGCGCCCTGGAGATCTCCGCCTGGGACTGGATCGCCCTCTTCAGGGTGAGAGCCCCGCGCCGTCCACGCTCGCGGTCCGTCGCGTGACGGTCGGTGCCGATCGCCAGTCGCGTCCTCGGAGCGCTGCGGCGCCCGCCGCGAGTCCGGCGGGTGGTGCCCGGTGCGGCTAGCGCCGTGCGCCTCCGCGGCGCCGCGTCCCACCGGCTGTTGCGTGCGGTGCCTCCCACGTATCCAGCTTCCGCCTGCCGCTAGCGCGCCTCGCGGATGACCGCGGCTGGGGAGAGTTCGTGAACACTGCCCCTGAACGTCCGGAAGTACTTCGCTGCGGACCCCAAACAGGTAAACCTTGAAACTAAAACGTAGTCGCGTGAGCTAAAGGCTCCGTGGTGGGCTGTAGGGTGTCGGTTGTTTGGCCCTCATCGTGAGGTTGGAAAGGGGCCGGCTCTCGGGCTGCTGAACTCACGTGCTGTAACTTCCCCAAACTGCCAGCGGTGGCTGTGTAGGCCTGCTGACGGATTTGTTGTCGGGTTGTCGGTGTGTTTGATGGGATCTTCACGAGTTCCCGCCGACCCTCTGCCCAATTATTAGCCGAATTTCCTCTCGACCGTCTGCCGCAATTATTAGCCGATTCATGATCTCCACGGCATGCAGCAGATCTGATGCTGCGGTTGACTTCAGCGCTTAAAATCGAGATACACACGAACCGATGTCCGGGGAGCTGTGTATTTTTTGCCGTCGTCGGATGGAGCTCATTAGCTTCTGTAAAAGAATAGACATCACAGCATCAGACAAACTTGCAGATGGACTGTCTGGACCGACAACCACCATCCATGAGGTAAATGGTAATGTGTCACGTTGCAACGGTTGGGTCTCGTTCGTGCTGTGTCTTCACCATGTAGGCGCTGTGTACCAGAACGATTATAAAACGCTCCTGGTCCTTACCATGTGGATCGTGTATTTTGTGTATGGAATATGCAGTATGCAGCCCCGCAACGGTTCAAAAATACACCCGCGTGTTCCCAGGGCTAGCCGGCAGGCTAGAGAAAATTGATGGGATAACAAAAAAAAAAACAAAAAAAAAACAGAAGAATGCGCTTTTGAGGTTCTCCCTCTCTCGCGCCGCTGGGGTTCAAGTGTTTGTAACAGGTATGTGTAGATTTCGGATCAAGCCACGCGGGTGTCTCAAATGGGAAGGGACGTGCGCATGTTGTGCGGCGTGACGCACGTGTGTCACTCATAATTTGAGACCCCTGCACCACTCGCACCGCAACGTGTCCACTAGCTGACACTGGGCTTTCTCGCACACAGCGTGCGTCGGGGTCTCTCTAGCTTTGTGGCGACGGTTCAGTGCTCTTCATATCGTACAGCGTGATGCAAAAGCTTGTGAGGGATGATGTTTTTTTATCTCCAGTCGGTCGCGTATCAAGAATTGGCAGCGTTTTCCACGTAGCCACTCAAATGTTCGGCGGTTGGCCTTTACACCTGGTTAATCCCCATGGCATGTGTTCGGTTGCGTTCATTGTATTTTCGGTGCCGTGCGCTAGTTTTGAGGTTCACCTGTATTATGGACAGAGCTTTTTGCACTGACCGTGAACCCCCACCTGGAGATGCACCGCCAGGGGCGACGTCTCTCCGATAGACGGGACCGCGGAGGAATGCTTTGCGTACCGCGCAACGGTCCATGTCCACTACAGGCGTTGTGATCGCCTGGGCCGCCCACAGCTGGCCTTTGCATGGGCACCGATCGGAAAGACGGCGCTCGCATGCTGTGACTCAACCCCTGTGGCAGTAGATCAAGAGTGATGCACGTTTTCCCTGGGCCACGGGTGGGACAGATGTGCTCAAGGTTGCCCAGCCATCGGATGGTCCGCCTGCGGCAGCGGGCGCACATTTCACGGTCGACGGCACGGATCCCTCCGGCATTCAATGGCCCGGCGCTGTCCGGTTGTCCTGACGTCTCGCGTTATTCTACATATTGATGACTCCTGATATGTTGTCTCCGACGAAGTCATCAGTTGTAACGCAGCTGCTGTTAAGGAATGAGTTGGGCATAAGAACTGCAATGAACACGACATGGTTTCTGTGTAATGGGTCGCGACGAAATACATCTGCACATAGCTCAGTGTTATGTGCCCGTTTGTCGTGGAGGAAAACTAAAAATAGGAAATCACCAGTTGCATTCTATGAAAAAGTCTGAAGCTACACCATCCGCCATTTGCGAAGGCGTTCCATTCGTCGTGCCGTGGTGTTTCACCGTCGGGTAGTGTATCTAGGAGGGATAATGATGACACGCGAAACGTCAACATGCCTACTTAAAAAGACTACGCCTGCTTTGCTTTCTCGGGGCTTTGCGACGTCGTACTATGTGAGGGTGGGATAGGCGAGTTTTTTTTCGGAGAACGGAGCGTCCGTCTCGATGGACCAGTTGGTTAGAGCGCCTGCCTTCCGACCCACCCACCTGGGGAGGGGTGGGCTCGAGTCGCTTTAGGCGCTCGCTGCTTGACAGTGTGGCCAGCGGTCGGTGGCAGTAGCTGCGCTATGGGTCAGGTGACGTCAGAGGCCAGGGCGGAACTTTCCGAGATTTGCGGCACGTTGGACTTTCGCCGCCGAGTTCTCCAAATTCTCTCCAAATTCTCCAAAATTCTCCAAATTCTGCCGTTGACCTGGAGTTGCGCGATCGGATGATAGGGGTCAGGGTTCACACAACACGCACTGCTTAACGTGACCTCTGATTCAGGTGATCGATCTATTCAGAAGGTTTGGATTAAATTTAAAGAAACGGGTGTACGATGTTCACTCCACGCCTCATACTTGGTCGGAGCGGCCACATTCTCCGCTATCTCGGCCTTTGTCTCGGGTTCTCACCGGGTACCGACTGCAGGTGTCTGGTTGAGGCGGGTTTGTTGCCAGCCTGTGTGATTGTTATGCTGAGCCCTGCACCGCCGGAATGTCGGCGGCGTGCGCGGAGCCTCGGCGGCGCAGCTGACCGGCGCCCGGTGGACGGCGCCGCCCGGCCGCGCCCAGCTGCCCAGCACGATGACGCGTCGGGGGCACGGCCCCTGGGCCGACACGCTTCCGAGCCGACCGCACGACCGTCCCGGCTGCTCCCGACCGGCGGCACGGGGCTCTCCTCGCAGGTGACGCTGCTGCTGCGCGGCGTTGGGGTTTTCTGGAGCGGAGCCGCGCTGCGGTGCCGGACGGCTCGGGTGCGGTCGTCCGCCGCGTGACACTCTCCGTGGTAACCGCGTGCCGGGCTTCACTCCTGTGTCATTCGGCCGCCCGGGCACGACTCGCCATGGGAAGGGCACACTTCCGCGGCCCCCGTCCCCGGCTGCCACATTGACTCATTGCTGCCACATGTCAAGGACGAGGCAGAACTCAGTGGAAAAGTATACGGGGTGCCGTGCATCGACTACGGCGCGCAGAGGCGGCAGCGCATCTACATTTCTGTGCTGGCATGCGGACCTAGACTCGCTCTCGAAATCTCCATGCGCAAAAACAACAGCTCATAGCGGCTGGCTACCTTCACGACACATCATTGTCAACTTCACGCTCCATATGTATGATGCCCAAATAGAGCAGGTCTGTCTGAACGCTGTAGTGCCCCTCCGCCTTCGCTTGCACGTGGCATCTTTCATTGAGCGTGTCCTTGGCGACCTGCGGGCGCCTTGAGCGCCGCGCCGCACGAGAGGACTCCAGTGAGTCCCTGGGGCGTCCTTCATTGAGCGTGCCCTTGGCGACCTGCGAGCTCCTTGAGCGCTGCGCCACACGAGAAGACTCCAGTGAGTCCCTGGGGCGTCCTTCATTGAGCGTGTCCTTGGCGACCTGCGAGCGCCTTGAGCGCCACGCCGCACGAGAGGACCCCAGTGAGTCCCCGGGGCGGCCTGTGGAGGCAACCCGTGGTGCTCCTCGCTGGCACGGCTGTCCTGCTGTGTCGGCGCGCTTCCATGGTGGCCCCCACACGCTGCGATATCGTTGCCGAGTCAAGATGCCATCATCCCGCTGTGAAAACATGATTCCACCGTGACGCCCCCCCCCCCCTGTCCTCAGTTTGTTGACGAGGTGCCGAAGGGGTGACATCATCCCGGTGTGATGATCTGCATTTAGTGTGGTCTGCTCGCACGATCACGAGATCGTGCGAGACGTCCTGTTGTGGGGGCCGACGTAGTTGTCAGATTATCTTCGCCGTTATATTGTCACCGTTATTAGTTATATTCGTTGGCGGCCGGCAAGGACGAGCGCGGCATATTCATAATCGGTACTTGGGACCGCTAGGACATAGCCGGCAGGTACAGAGCATGAGCGGATTGAAGTCCTCTTTGGCGAGGCCGTTTTTCCTTCGTAATACATACGGCTCAGGAATGCATGATCCCGGTGAGAGCGAGACGCTGCCTTGTGTGATGACGAGCGCGTTGTGTCTGTCGACAGGCGAACTTTGCCAGCCTGGACGAGTACATATCCTACATATGGGCGCCGCGCACCACGTCGTCCCCCAATTCGGACCACTACGTGGCCGTCTTTCCGGAGGACAGTGTCACCGTGCCAGGTAAGCGTGCTTTCGAGCGAGGCCATTCAAGATTACATCAGTATGAGTCTTCCAGCCTCGCATGCATGCGGTTCCGTGGCGATGTTGATGCATGCACAGCGGGATGCCTTCCGACTGATTTAGCGCTGTCGGTGAACTTCAAATTGGTCAGTTGTTGCCGGTGATCGAGAGGCAGTAAGAACGCTGAAAACGCAAGTTATTCTGTTTTTTTTCTCTGCTGCAAGCAGTTGTCCCTGATTCCGTGATGCCCATGACCACGCGAGATTGAATCAGCAAGCGTAATGACCATTGCATGGGCGCGTCTCCGATCCTTCCGCTGCCAACCAGTCACCTCGGCCGGCACCATGACCTATGTTTGGGTCAGGGGTCTGCCGTCCCCGGCCAGTCAGCGGTCGGTGGCCGCTATGCCCGCGGCCTTGCCCGCCGCCTCGGCCCCGCCGGCAGCAGGCCGCCGCCGGACCGGCCGCCCCTCGCCTGCCGTCGAGCTGGCCGGGGCGGGCGGGTCTGAGCCGGCCAATGCTGTGGTTGACCGGAGGGGTGGGGTAGGGGCGACCCTGGCTCCGTGCCGTCCGGCCGGCGCCGGCGCCGGACGGGCGGCGCGACCTTCTCCCCACCTGACTCACGGCTCGGCGATGCTTCACGGCGCCGTGGGACCGCCATCTTGCCGGGCTTGTCCGTGTTCTGGCCGCCGCTCAGCGCGCGGTAAAGCTTAGCCTCGCATCGCGAACCCCCCGAGCCCCGTCTGAAGTCAGGCGAAACGCCGGCGGCACCCAGGGCGCGTGCTGTGTACCCTGCGCGTCGGCTTTATGCGCCGCCGCTTCCCGGCGCAATGGCCGCTGCCCTGGTTGAACCCGGCTCTCGCGTCGGGTGTATGCTAGAGCCCAGGGATACACGACTAGCCCTTTGATGATTTACAGGACGCTTAGGCAACTGACCAGCCAGCAGTTAGTGGACAGAGTCGCCTTCTGTGGCGTCCCTCGTGATCTCTGGTCTACTCATGTGAGGTGCTACAAAGAACGTTCGTGCGTAGTTGTGTTTTAAGGCTGGGCGTTTGGCGCGGTTGCGTTTGTGTTCGCTATTGCAGTCTGCGGATCGTGTTGTGTGATGCTGAAGTCACTGGAGGTGGCTGACCGTCTGCCGCAGCCCAGCTCTGCCGTCTCAGGCGCAGTCCGACCGTCCCTTGCAGGCAGTTACGTGCTGGTGTACTTCGGTCGGAACGGCCGCGGCGTGTACGGCATCAGCGAGCCGTTCGCAGTTCAGTACAGTCACACCGCGCGGCTGGCGGCGCTGGCCATCGGCAGGACCACGCGCGCCGAGCGGGCGCCGCTGCTGGCCGCCGACGAGGCGCCCCTGCTGGCCGCCGATCCTGTCGAGCAGCGACCCCTGCTGGCGGACGATCCTGTCGAGCAGCGGCCTCCGCTCGTCGCCGATCCTGTCGAGCAGCGGCCCCCGCTGGCCGCGGACCCTGTCGAGTCCCCGCTGGCTGGCGACCTTGCCAGGCGGGGGCCCGCGTCGGGTGGAGTGCCGCCGGCGGGCGGTGCCGACCTGGGCGCCTGCGCCGCGGTGGAGAGTCCTCCGACGACGACCGGCCCTCTGGCGGATGGCGTCCGTTTGGGGGAGGAGCGCGCCGCCGCGGCCAGCGCCGGTCCCGCCGCCGCCGCCTCAGACCTCGACGCTCTGACGAGGTAGGGCAGAGCGCGAGCTGTCTGGACCACTCGGCTGCGATACATACCAGAGACCTGCCGCGGCCAGCGCCGGTCCCGCCGCCGCCGCTTCAGACCCCGACGCTCTGACGAGGTAGGGCAGAGCGCGAGCTCTGTCTGGACCACTCGGCTGCGGTACACACCAGAGACCTGCCGCGGCCAGCGCCGGTCCCGCCGCCGCCGCTTCAGATCCCGACGCTCTGACTAGGTAGGGCAGGGCGCGAGCTCTGTCTGGACCACTCGGCTGCGGTACACAACAGGGACCTGCCGGGACCAGGCAGCTTGGTGTCGAGCCGTGGTGGTGAGCAGGCCCGGGCTGCTCATGTGTCGCGTGCAGTCGAATGCCTAGCTTCATGCGCCAGCGTCGGCTGTTTGCCGACATTGGTGGCGGTAGATTTTATACGGCGCTTAAAGCCGGGCGGGGTGATTGCTTAGCGTGCGTTCCACATCTCCCGTGCCTTGGTCGCGTGGGTGGATCGGATGTCGTGATTTTGGTGGCAGCCATGAAATCATGCGCGAATGTTTTCCTAGCTGACTGGGGATTGCGTAGATGTGCCTTGCCCTACGCGGTTTGTATCACGCCAGGCTTCCCGCGAATGGTGTTCTATTTATTAACTCGTTTTAGTTCGTATTCGTGGCAGTTAATTGCGTGTCAGGCGTCGAACGTAACAGGTTCAGCGAACGAATCTGGAGAATATTTGAGCTACTGGAGAACGGCCGCTAGTTTGGCGTACCGGGCTGTGCCCCGTCCCCTGCAATGTATCGCCCCCGAGAACTTAGCAGATCTAGTCATGGTGCTGGAGTGGTTGCCGATGTCCCTAGTGCCTGGTTTGTCGGATAACCTTGAGAAAATATGCTGATTTTTTCGGGCCGGTTGTGTCAGATCAGCGTCAAAACAAAGCTGCCTTTTAGCGCCGGCGTTCAGGATGTTTGTCGGCGCGGCCAATGCGCCGTGCTGGCAGTGTAATCCGCGTGTTATACAGTACATATTCTACGCACCGCGCTGGAGAAATTAGGGCGATGTGGGAAGTTTGCCTCGAGTGTAGGAGGCGCGTGTTCGACCACGGCTGCGGGAGTCGCACGCCGACGCACGCTGCGCGTTTGACGCCACGGCGCGGCTTGAGGGGTGTTGCGCCAGGCTGCGTCGGGACGCCGTGGTGACCGTCGAGACGCGTGCGGCTCTGGGCCTTTCCCTGGACAGCGCTGGAAGCCTCGGGCCCCGGCGGGTGTGGTGCAGCCGGCCGCGAGGATGGCGCCGCGCGTCCAGCACGGGAACTAGCCGGCGAACGTCCCAGCAGACGGGCAGAGCCGGCGCTGTCTGCGGTTATGCAGAGCGCGGTCGGTGATGCGCGGACACCGCTGCCATCGGCCCGCCCGTCAGCCTGAGCCGATTGCGGTGCGGCGGCGGCGGGTGTGGCGATGGTCGTTCGTTTCAACCGCCGTCAGCGCCTGTCTGGCGGGGAAGCAACCCCCGCGACTCCCGCGCGCAGGCGTCAGTGGGAGGCCCGGGCCGGACGGACCTCAGACCCGCACAGACCGTGGCTGACCAGCTGGAGATCACTGGACCGCAGTTACCACGGGCTGTAGTCTGGCACACCCGTGTGCGATGTTGAGGGCGCGGTACAGCGCGCTGGACTGAGCTTCGCCGGCACGTGCTGTTGGGGTGCTGCGCGCATGGGTGCTCGTGTTTCGTGTTCGGGGTGTGCTTATATTACCGACGTACCTCTTGCCTACTCGTGCATCTGTTGCTCAGTATCACAGTGCGACACGTGGCCCGTCCTGTGTGGGTTACTTCTATTCAGTTGGTTCTCATGTTCTCGCTTCCGTGACAGCCTCAACATCTTTGACGTGCTCTGACCGAGATTTCGTGATCCGTACAAGTTTTACCCTCGCACGCGGCCGGTTGGTCGGACATCAGACGATCACCGGCTCGCACTCAACACGGAGTCGGGTCGTGTGGGACTCAGGTCTGGCTGAGAGTTGGAAAATGGTCATTTAACTGGCATGGCGCATACCTTGTCTCATTTTCAGGTCGCCAATACATGATTCCGTACCATGCCGCTGTTTGACATTTGCCGGGCATATATGGCCATGGACGAACGGTCTCCAGACCTGTGCGCTCGTGATCAGCATTTTTTAACAGGATGACATCACTCACCGCATTCATCGCAATTCATTTTGCATCATTCCTGGAGCTCATGACCCAGTCATGCTCCGTTGAGCCGGGTCGCCCCCTTGCGCGGCGCGGGCCGGCCGGGCCCGCACCTGCCGCCGCGGATTCCCCCGGCATTCTCGCCGCGCCGCCGGCATTGCTGGTGTGCGGAGCGCCGCGGGCCGCGGGCCGCGCCGTCGGACCTCGGATGCCGATGAGACGGCGGCGGGCGTCCGGCGTCCCCGCCGCGCGCCGGCCCGCCGTCACCGTCGGCGCCCTCTGATGCCGACTGTCGGGCGGCTGTGGCCGGCTGCAGCTGCGGGCCGGCGGCGACGAGACGCACGTGCAGCTATCTGACTGAAATCGTTCGTGCTGGAGCCAGCTGTTTCGAGTTGCATCACCTAGGACGTCTGCTTTGGCCGCGCCGTCCGCTGTTCCACAACACGTCTGGGCCGTGCTCCCGTGGCCGGTGCTGGCCGCGTCGCTGTTCCACAACACGTCTGGGCCGTGCTCCCGTGGCCGGTGCTGGCCGCGTCGTCCGCTGTTCCACAACACGTCTGAGCCGTGCTCCCGTGGCCGGTGCTGGCACCATGCGGCCTTGCTCTGGCCCGTGTGGGCCTGACGCCGTGCCCGTCACGGATAACGGGAATAAAGGTTATCCGCGCAGAACGGATACGGCGCAGGGGCGGTGAAGGATTGGGCACATGTTCTGGTGATAGTCCCGCATGCTGCGTGAAGAGGACGAGTGGACCGGCTGGGTAGGGCACGGCATGTGGGTAGAAATAAGCGTGCGATTGTGTGTTGCTTCGGCAGGTGGGTATGTGGGAATGGGCTCGGCTTTTTGCTTCGCTTCTCACTTTTTGCTTCGCTTCTCACTTTTTGTTTACGTTCTGATAGCGTCACCAGTTGATTTCAGTGCGATGACCACCCGAAGTCAGTCCAACGAGCCGTTATTTTCTCAAAATACATTTATTCATCCTGTCCGAACATCGAAATCCTCTTGCGGTTGTGAGTTCTCTGCATCCGAGCCTGCCTCCGCTTCAGCGAAATTGGCTCTGACCCCGGCTCACCGCGCGGAATGCCTACCGGGATCGGTATGCTCTCAGTCCACGGCGTGTATCTCAGGTTTGACTAAACATAGATGCGAGCATGGTCGACGTACTCCGTTTTTAGTTAAGCGGGCAATGCTCAGTTCTGGAATTAGTGCGAATGCGCTGCCAACTTGGAGTCAGTTCGATCCACCCACTTGGCCTGGGAAAAGGTGCTGCACTCGTCATCCAGGAGTATTGGGCGTGAATCCCAAAGTAGTGCGTTCTTTAGTCCGATTGATACGGTGGTGTTAATTGGCAGCATGCCAACGAGGTCATCCCAGCCGTTGTGGCCGTGCTGTTGCTTTGCACGATGCATAATACCCTCCACTGTTTTGTCTGGAGACAGGATGGAAGGTGAACCCTATCCGTTGGAGAGAGTGCTCTACAATTGTATGGGGTTTGGACAAATAAAGCCGTCTTGAAGATTATTCGGTACAGTTTACAGCCCTGCCCTTTTGAAGACCAAAAACTTTCTTGTTTTTAGCCACATGCCCGTGAAGAGGTAGACTGTTTCGTGCGGACTATTTAAGAGTTACCCGGATATTTATGACGCAATAATAACGTCATTCAAATCTTGCCATTCATAATAGCCATGCAGGGTTCAAGGTCATTCAACATAACTGTCGAGTTGGCTGCATCTGGCGTTCGTGAGGACGATTTCCAGATATAACGGTCGTCAATTGGCTGTCAGCTAATGTTTTGCAAGCTATGGAAGATTCCAACACGACTTAAGTTTTGTGCTACATAACGCCATAATCGATCATGTGAATACAAGTCAACATCTTGAACTCAGGGACTAATATGCCAGAACACCACAAGAAGCGGGCAAAACACGACCACGTAACGATATTTGGCTTAGCGAACACTTCCACCCCGTGCTGCCACCCCTCGGGATTGCAGAACTACGAGTGAGCGCAGCCATACAAACCATCTATCTCGCAATCAAACAATGACATATTGAGGAGCATACTTACCAAAAAGAGAACCTCTGTTGTCTAGAGCAGCCCGTTTCACTTAAGAACATACCGATGGTCGTCAGTGAGTTTATTTCATCATATCTGATGCCTGCTTCAAAGTCCTCATGTTTTAATGTACTTTACCATTTTTAAACATTGTTATATATATTTTATTTATTATTATCATCGTTATTTTTATTATATTTACCTCATTCACTTTAAGCTGGGCAGCTCAGCTCGGGACCAGGCGCAAAATACGCACGGCACGCTTCGCGCACCGGTAAGCAAAACCCAAATGCATCCATGGGAGCTGTTCAGTATTGAGGTGAAAAGCTAAAATTTCAGGTAAATTAGATCGCTGTCTAAATTTTTTGAACGCAGTTGGGTTACTTGTACCGCACTTGTACTTGTACTTGTACTTGTACTTGAACATTCGATTCAGCATTCAGGTTGACCATGCATTGTTGATAAGAATTAAGTCCATCTCTGCCACAAGTCGCCAAGCTCGAAAATGCTAATGACGGTAACGCTCGTTTTGCCTGATATAATAAAGAAAGGATTTCAGCTCCTGGCTTTTAAGGCTGCGCGTTGAGAGTTCTAATGTTCAGTCAACAACCGCCAGTGTACCAGGAGGTACTGGTTAAGCGACGTTGTTATGCTGAATAATGCTTATATTGACGGCACTTAACATGCTTGTTATTTTGCATCACAGCATTGTTTAGTCAGTACCTTCAGGTATATTGAAGATGGTAAGCTCATCACCATAACTTTCAACTCATAACACTTGTTTGTGGGCAAGCATTGATGATTTAAGCCGTTTGACTCAATACAGACCATGGGATACCCCAATTGTGTGGATCATTGGGTCTACCATGGCTCCAAAGTTTGCTTCGATTCTGTATTTCCTGCGTGCATTCCGAATTGTCCTGGCAATCAACCAAAGCCTCCGCCGTTCTCGTAGTACTTACTTGCCTTTATGTAAGCCCAGTCATGCTGTTGCGGGGATATTTCGATTTTGCGCCACCATCAGGACGTCCTCATTCCTGTGCTGGCGTCCGAGTATCTTCAGTACCACAATGTCATCTGGGCATGCTGAGCCCTCACTAAGATCAGAACATTGCTGGTCCCCCGCTGGTGTCGAGGCATTGTTAGCCCCCTCGGCTGATATCGTCATTCGCTGAGTGTCATATAATACTACAGGGATCTTCAGTCCGGTGCTGACATTGTGACATGCTCAGTCCCGTGCCGACGTTGTGACATGCCCAGTCCCGTCCCATGGCGTCGCAGTGTCCTTAGATATTGGCAATTCCTAATCCTAGCTCAGTTATTTTTTTCTGTTCATGCAATATATAATGGCAATTTAGATCGGTCAAATATGATTAAATAATGTTGGTAATAATTGGTATGCATGTCCGTGACATTGCCACTGCGTCTTGCAGATGTCGTGCTGCTCTGCCGGAGACAATAGTGCATTGTCTCAAAGACGAGTGGGAGGGCGGTCGCGTTCGTTGAGTGCCTTAAGGTAATGCTGTATACCACGGGCCACGCAAGAGTTTGCAATGAAGGAACCAACTAAAAGAGAAAATCACTGGAAACGCAGGTCAGCGCACCGCAGGCATGCAAAATCCTGGCATGCGTAAAGCATCATAACGTCTTCTCAACTTAGTCAGTTTTGCTGGTTGACCTCAAATTCTGTATTGCCAACGTGTCTTCACGTGCGTTATCACTTCGCACACCTGTTGGTCCTGATAGCTCGGTTGGCCTGACCGTCTGCGTGCCCATTCACTCATCCGTGGCGCGGCGGGTTCGGGTCCCTGCAGGCGTTCGCTGCATGTCCCGGGCTGGGGTGGCCTGCGGCCGTTAGCGGCGGCCGCGCTAAAGGTCAGGTGCAGCGGCCGGGCTAAAGGTCAGGTGAAGTCCATGGGCAGGACGGACCGTACCGAGAATTGCGGCTTGTGTCGCGAAATTCTGCCGTTGAATTGGAATGTCGCGATCGCTTAGCAGAGTCAGGCCGCACGAACAAGCACTATTCAGCGCTGGCACTGATCCCAGAAATCCGGCTGATCAATACGCTCGGAGTAAGTCTAAGACATCTTCATGCGTGTTGTAGATTGCATAAGGGGGTAGTGTCGCACATTGTGACTGGGCGCTTCGAACTAGCCCAGTCGCCAGTGTTCCAGCCGAGGCAAACGAGCTACCGTTAGTTCTGGACGCCGGATGCCCAGCTCCCTCCACACATTGAAGGTCGCACGGTTTGAGGCGCATCCGGCCTTTCAGAGCATTCTTTCAGAGCACCTGACAGGCCGAACGATCGCCCCTGAGCCCATCTGTAAACGAGTCAGCAGAGTCTGCAGGACGCAGACATAAGTGTAAGTGAATAGACTGAGGCTGCTAAGGCTGCTGAAGAGCTTTATTTCGAGGCTCTTCTTCGAATGTGCACCTGGTACCAGACGTAAACACGTGTATCCTTGATGGATCGAAATCTGAAAGAGGCTCAGATTGTGGTATTGCTTGTGGCAGCTGGACGGGATCTTTTCTGTTGTCCCATCATTGTTCAATTTTTACGGCTGAACTGTGGGTCATCTGTAAGGCGTTGGCTTGCGCGGAGGGTCGCCGAGACCGTGTTTTTTTCTAACTGCCGGGCTCCCTAAGCAGCGTTTGAACTATCAAACATCTGAAAGCTGGCCATGACCTGGTGGATAACATCTTACGGCAGGTGGGTCGCGTAACTGTGTGGGGCTCCAGCTTTGATACGCCTTATTCAGGCCTGACGAATCAGCCCCTAGAGGGCTGTCACGCATAGGCCGAATAAACGAAGATCGCTTGACAAAATAGTGGGCTCGAAATGACCGCTGTTGCTGACGTATCCCTAAAACCCAAATGCCTACATCATCGGTAGGTACGACGTAGCCACGGTAGCCCACTACGTGCGCACGCCCCTGCTGCGCACTGGCGCACCCTCTCATTGGAATGTGTGTACTTTACAAGACGCTTACACACTATTGCCGCCCTTGCTATGGGTGTTGGTAAATAGTGCATGGTGACCTCAGGATGATGTGAGATCCTTTGTACGTCACTCAAACTAGCCGTTAATACACCAACTGGCGCTGTCGCTGCCTTGTGAGTCTTTCGCCGCGTTCAGCAACAAAAGTACGTCGGTGTTATGAGTGGAAATACGGCATATAATCCGTGCGTGACTGGTAGCGGTCAGTCGGCCAGTCATGGACGCAAACTGGTGAAATGTCTGCCACTTGATAGCCGGAAAATACGAGGCGATTGCACGGAAGCTAAGAACACATACTCCGATCTTGCTGCTTATGATCCTCCTGGTGTTTTTTATGGATGCCATGTGGCTGGATGTATGAGCGGAGAACAAACTTAGATCGTCAAAATGAGTTAACTGCTGAAGCGATCAAAGCCAATAGATCGCGTGCGGGGCCATGCTGATTTGAAAGAAGCGGCTTAAGTACACAGCCGCTTGTAATGGATGAGAATTCCAATTGATGTCTGACGGTGAACTCCCATTGACCGGAAAATGGCAAGAATTGGTAATCGCCCTTATTTTTGTGAGGTGTGCGCATAAAAGTTGTGGTATCTCCTGCTTTGCATGATGTATTCCATCTTACGAGCTGTTTATTTTCGTGCTCTAGCACATCTGCAGTTTTATTTTTGGCATGACTGCTTTTGAATCCATAGTGTCTTTTGTTAAATATTTTGGTCCGCTCCCGCCTGGCCGCAGCGGATAGGACAGGACAGCTGTGACCGTACCGCCCGGCGCTGATTGGCCGAGAAGCCGTAAGGCTAGGGTGGAACCCCAGTGACCATGTCACCACCCGCCGTGACTCGTGAGTCAGTGCCAGCCCGCCACCCCGCCGCGGCTTGCAGAACAGCCACCGCCTCTTCAGACCTGCCTAAAACCGGTCTCCTTGTGCAGGGTGCCTGTGTTATGCATCAGGGAAAGGGATTCGAATGGCTTGCCATACTGCACTCCCTTTGTGTTGCAGTAGATTAACAATGCAGCCGGTCCGAGACGTATTCAGACTGCACCTTCGTGTGGGCAGGAAAGATGTCCGGACTGAGTCACTTGCAAAGCCAATGTCAATGTTGCATCGGAGTTCAATGTCAGTCAGCCACGAGGTCGCGCCAGCGGCGGGCGCGGTACCGACTGTATAATATCACGAGGAATGCAACTTTTTTGTAAATAGCTGCTTAATGATGACAACGCTGATCTCCTGGGCATGCTTATGAGATTTCCGCATTCCATGCAACTCATTACCATGCCGATTTTTTGCGCGACCAGACGTCCGCATCGGTACGACAACTGCCACAGCAGCACTGGCTTCATGCGCACTGAGTTCAGCCGTGCGTGATTTGTCGACTGCTGGGAGAATGCGTATCGAGTGTTGTCGCTAGATGCCTCCTGTTCTATTTTAACCCCCGACTTTCTGCCCGCCAGCGTTAATTTTTCCCCAAACCGCGCCAATGACAATGACCGGCGGATGGGTGAGTGATGCAGTTCCAGTGCTGTGCGGCGAGCGAGCGGTTTGCGTCCAGTGTCCTGGCATGTATTGCGTCATCACACGCCTGTGTGCAGCTCCTGCCTGGCTGCCACGCAAAGATCTTCATTTCTTTGCCTCGTGACACCTCAGGCTGTCAGGCTGGGGTCGCAGCTCGGCATCGAGACCTAACCATAACATTATTCGCCTATGTTCCATATGCACTCGCTGGCACGTCGATTATGACATGGCAAACCGCACTAGAATTCATATCAGACGGCGCTCTTTCACTGGTATCCGCCATGCCACAAGTCGCCCCAACTTCGGTCACGGCCTAAGTACACTTGGAGATGTTTGGCTCCATGCAATTCAATACCAATGGTACAGTGCAGTGCATCGCCAATGCATCAGGCCACACCACTCAGTCTCAGTGCGACACTTTCCCCCCGCCCACTCCTCCCAGAGCACACGACGCACCAATCGCATCTCGCACTCGATCTCAAACACACCACTCACGGAACGACCCACGCTCGGACCGCGCTCTCGCCCCTCGCCGAACGCGACCCCAAGCGCTCGTATTGGCACCGTGGTCTCCCACCACAGGTCCGGCACTTTTCATCGACAACGACCGCGCATTTTCCGGCATCCAACGCCGTCAGAGATCATCTCTCCACAGTAGAGTGGAGCCGTCGCCGCCGCCGCCCTCAGTACATCATGCCCGGGTGCGGTGGAGTCCGGTAGAAGAACACATTGGGGTTGCCCGCAGACAGCGTGCGCTCCGGTGGGCCGCGGTACTGCGACTTGATGTGGTCGATGGTGTTGTACAGGTTGTCCTCTTGTCTGATGTACCCTGCAACAGCACGCGCGCCGTCAGCGGTCAGCGACCGACTCAGCTCTGTCGTCACCTGGCAGCGGCCGCGACGCACGTGCGTCTGATGGCGCAGTGAGATAGCGGCCGGCTGCGCAGGTACCTCACCCACCCCCGCCCTCTTCGGGAGGCCGCTAACGTGGTGCGCTGTCCGCCGCCGCCGCCCGCAACACAATCTGCATTTTAAAGCGCGCGCCGTCCGTAAACAATGTCGTGTTTGGAAAGGCCCGGAATACTGAGCGGCGGCGGCGGCGGCGGCTGCTGCAGCGGACGTGTCGGCGGCCGGCCTCCCCTCTGACGGCGGCGCAGGCTCCCCTCAGACGGCGTACCTGGAACCTGGTCGTCGGGGAAAAAACGGCCGGCGAACCGCGGTCGGCGTGACAAAACGGCCGGCCGGCGAATCGGTCCATCTAGATGGGGTCCGGGCTGGGCCGTTATTGGGCGCCGGCGCCCCGGCTGAGTTACGGCGCGCCGTCCGGAGGGGGACTGTCAGGCCAGCTGAGATATGGCCCGCCCCGTCACACCGCCGCCGCCGCCCGGCCGCCGCGCACACACGCGGGGGACGGACCGCCGCCGCCGCCGCCGACCGCGCGAGCAGCGCCGGCGGCGAGGCGCCACCCCCCACGGCGGGGCTCTCTGTGCACCGCGCAGAGAAAGGGAAAGCCGTAGCCAGAGAACTGCCAGGTGTGCCCGCAAGCAGCCTTCTGTGCGGGCAACGCACGGCACAGCCGACGGCGGAGGAGCAATCCACCGCGGAGGAAACTACGACGAGCCAGCCAACGCACATAAACCTACCACCGGCTTTCCCACGCACGGAAAATTACAGCCAAGCCAGCCAATCACCGCATCAGGGCGATAATCATAAGCTTCACACGCATACACACAGGTTACCACGAGGAGGCAGCTTGGCAACTGCACGGAGCGAACCGTCCTTGCTTTGCAGCACGCAGAGCAGCCCGGGACGCGCTGCGACCAACTCGGCCCGCCCCGCTCCACCCCAGGAGCCTGTCCGGACTTCCCTGCCGACGCACAGCGTGCCGGTGTAGTGCGTCCGGCGATCGCCACGATCGCCCCGACCGACACGCCGATTTCTTTCGCTGATGAATAGCGGATTTGCCGCCCGCCGCGGGCCGCGTACCGTGCGACTTAGCAGGCCCTCCAAAAAAGACCCATTATCGTGCGCGACGTGGGCGATTTGTCTGCGCCGAACGTCGGCCTCGGTCAGTTCGGGGCTGAGTGACTGCGACCTCCCGTGAGGTCGCGGCCCGCGGCGGGCCGCCGCGCGCCGGCCGGTCGGGCCGCCGCTGCGCCGCCGCGCGCCACAGCCGGAAGCCAGCGGCGGCGGCCGTCGCGGCTCGTGGGATTGCCGCTTGGCCGGCCGGCGGGAACTTCACGCTTTCATCGTGGGCCGCGTGGCCGCGCGCGGCGTCTCCAATTATACATGACACCGAGCGCGGGCTGCGGGAGCGATCGGTGACGTAACGCCGTGTTACCGATCGGCGTCAGTGGGTGGTCGTCCCCCGAGTGTGACAAACCTCGGGTCAGCGTGGTCCTATGTGGGCTAGAGGGCCGGGGTAAACCCTCTTCAATCGTGGCAGCCTGAGAAGGAATATGGAAAAAGGTTTTGTGCACGTATGGTATTCATTGCGATGCGTCGTACGCAATAAACAATGCATACTTATTTCTAAATTCATAAAACTGCATTTCGCTGCTTTCTATGTTGATTTTGTAGAGCAGATAACGAGGGATGTTGCACCCACAGACAAAAGGCAAAATAAACCCTAGCTTTACAACCTCCAGCTGTGGAGCGCGGTCGTGACACCTGGTGTAACAGTGGGAATCGACAACGCCTGGGTGAGGAAATGCTACCGCCGACCTACCCACGGACTTGTAAAATGTTCCATACCGAAGCGAATGACAGCTTGCGGGCCGGGAGATCACGCCCGATGATGAAAGATAACACCGTGCCGATGAAACGCCGGAAGCCCTTGGCACAGACCGGCAACTCTTTGGCTACCGTCGTGACGGTTATGTATGCCATTGTCGTACGGTCGGTCTCTTGCTCAATCGTACCGGTATTTCTGTCCATCGACATTTATACGTGCATGGTCCGCGCGCTGCACCATAAGACAGGGAATTTAGGTTGTGATTGTGAGCACATTGGTTCGCAAGCCAACTGCGCGGGTTACATAAGACCGCGGGGATTTTGGCGGTATTAAATGGCAATTCAGAGCTTGCCTGGGCGTCGATGGAATTTCAGAACCCAAAATTTGCAGCACGTATACCGTTAACGTGATTGAAAAACTATTACGTATGTTTTCTTTTTCTTTAACACAAAAAACAGTCGTGTGAAAAAGAAACGGGTTTGAAGCAATAAAACACACTTCTGGAAATATCTGTGTATGCTTTTGAGTTTAAAGTAACGAAGGCTAACAGCCGAATCCATTAGGTGCCTGCTAATCACTTCCTGTGAGCCCTGAACGTAAGGCTACTCCTCAAACATATTGCATGTTGCCGCTCATACCTATCTCCTCCTCGTCTTGCCATTTTAAAATTTTTGCTTTCATCAAACGTCAAGATAGGCTGAGCTGAACGGCTGAAGTGCTGATTATCAAGAATAATAAAATGCCTAGTTTATGTAGTATATACATATATATATATATATATATATATATATATATATATATATATATATATATATATATGTTCTTCTGTCCCCATATCTTCCCACGTCTTACAGCTTGTCATCAACGGATGAGTTTATTGATATAGTGCGATCTCGTCAACCTAAGGGCCTACTAGCCTCTCTAGATGTTGAAAATCTATTCACAAACGTGCCCATTGAAAGAATCATATTCATCATCCTTGACCGCGTCTACAATCATCCTGAAATTCCTCCTCTCAAAATATCAAGGCGCCTTCTTGAACAATTACTAAAAGCCTGCACGTTGGAAGTTCCTTTCCGCGGGCCTGATGGCCGAATGTATTGCCAAATTGAGGGCGTTGCGATGGGCTCACCTCTAGGACCTCTATTCGCTAATTTCTTTATGGGACACGTAGAAACCGGCATACTACAAAATGACGACATAAGACCGGACATTTACTGCCGCTACGTAGACGATGTCTTTGTAGAAGTTAGTGACATTGATCAACTAGGACATCTCAAAAACACCTTTGAAGAACGGTCTGGCTTAAAATTCACAACAGAGCTAAGTGGGCAAAACGTAATACCCTTTCTTGACGTGGCTGTCGATGGACAAGGACATCAATTCAAAACGACTGTATACCGAAAACAGACTAACAACGGACGGTGCTTAAATGCTGACAGTGAGGGTCCTCGACGCTACAAAATTAGCGTCATAAGGTCCTTTCTTAGACGAGCATTTAAGCACTGCTCTGATTGGACAGGACTACATTCAGAATTGACACGGATCAAACAGATCTTGGTGAACAACGGTTTTTTCAAATTCTGACATTGAAAACGAGACACAATGACATATGACAAGACACTTTGAAAGCAAACCAAGGCAAGACATCCAACCGACCGTCAAACTGTACTATCAAAATCAAATGACATCTGTTCACAAACAGGACGAAAAAGCTTTACGGGAAATTATCTCTCAACATGCTAAAGGCAAAAACGACCACAAAATAGACATTGCCATTTACTATTGTAATTAGAAAATATCGAACTTTCTTATGAGAAACAGCCCAGACAAACCCGACAAACTGAAATGCACCAATGTAGTGTATCAATTCCAATGCAACATCGAAGGCTGCAAACTTCGTCCCATACACTACATTGGTGTGACCACAACGACACTCTCACGACGCCTGACAATGCACTTACGTGACGGGGCACCTCTGGACCACATGCGACAGGAACACGACATGACATTGACACGACAACAATTGACAGACAGCACTGACATTTTACGGACGTGCAGTGACAGAAGACGCCTTCAAATTTGGGAAAGCATATTCATTAACGAACTCTCTCCGGCCTTAAACAGACAGACAAATTCTTGCAGAACTCTTGAGCTACTAGGTGGTGGGCGGTGAGCACTTCTGATGTGATTGTGACAATAGTGTTCCCATTGTGTCTTTGTGATTTATATATATATATATATATATATATATATATATTTAAGCATTTTTGACATTCTGCACGTTGATGATCTGTTTTAGTTAAAAACTATAATATCTCAGAGATCCTTGAAGCATTTCAGGACCTGGAAACGTATAAGTACACCTTAAAGATGCCAATTAAATGACCCTTTGAAATTTGGCACCGATGATTTGGATTTGCAGAAAAACCTTGTTTGCGCAAAAAGCTATCTGCTAATCAAAGGCACATGCAATGTCACATATCGGGGGGGGGGGGGGGGCTTCAAATCCTGCTTGCCGCGCCTATCGCCAAGTCTAACCTGCTAATAAAGGCCAAAGATGAACAGGTGCAATGCTGCCGTTGAACTCGGCCATAACCCGTTACATCCTCCAAAACTGCTAAACTGTGGCAGCTGAGCAATATTCAAGAAGCCATCATTATTTTAACAAGAGCTCTCAATAGCATGACGCTTTTCGTATGACGAGCTCAAGGCTTCGATGATTTATGTCGTATGCCAAGCTCAGGGCTCCGATGACGTATGTCATATGACATGCTCAGAGTTTTGATGACGTGTTTTGTATGAAAAGCTTAGGGGTTTAATGGCCCTGGCTCTGCGGACGGTAAGGCGAAAACATTCTAATTCTAGACAATTGTACAACTAATACAGTTGCAGAAGCCACCATGCGCTGGTCCCACTCGGGTGTATCTGTGATGGATAAAGACACCAACTTAGACGTATGGCCTTGCTTGGCATGCAGGCGTTCGCGATGATATGCCGCTAGTTAATAAATCTTAAACACGTTTACGACAAAACCGTGACATTGCCAGATAAATCTAGCTTTTAAGGGTAGCTTAAGAAAGCAAGTAAGGTGAA